CAAAGCTCCCAGCAAACACAACAAGCAGACGAGGAGCAGACAAAGGAAACAAAATGTCCATCGCTGTTTCTGTAAGAAGTCAGTCGAGCTCCAAGACTTTAATTTTAAAACTTCCTATGCAGTTATTCCAGGATTTGAAATGTTTCCAAGATTTCAAATGTTTTGATGGTCTTGATGTTTAATACATCAAAACTCTTAACTACACCTAACAAAGAAAAACAGTCGATAGAGGCCACTTTCACCATCCAGGGTGAACTTACTTATAACTTATGACTGCATTTTAGCTCAATATTTGTTTATTAATTTAAAGAGTAAAAAGAAACTAAAAGAAAATTAAATATTTTAAAAGTGTCCGCAAACGTACCTCTGACTGTTCTCCATGTCACGGTTCAAATGAATTATTAGTTTCAGGAGTGGAACAGTTGAGAATTAGATTTATGTAAATACTGTGTCTGAATATGATTTATGAAAAAGACTGTTTAACACGTTGTTACGACCCGGCTCGAAATGACCGTAACAAGAGCGGGGTGTCCCGTAACCCTAACCCACAAGAAACAGATAACCCACCAACACAGGCACGTAACACATGTGCATATATGTGATCAGTGTGTGTATGAGACCTGAAGGTGAAGGTGCAGACAGCTGTGTTCTTGTTGTGTTTCTGGATGTAAAACAGAAGTACTTCACATTTAAAGCTTCTCTTGGACTTCACATGTGTATGATACAACTACAACTAAGTAAATTATTACTTAGTTTCATAAAAATCTCCCTAATTTGTTTCTGCAGCACCAAACATGTCAAAGCATGCTGTAGACAGAGCTTGTTAAGGTGTGATAAAAGGAAGGAAGTGGAGAGAAGAAGAAGTTTTAAAGTCTTTGTTTTCTTCACAGTTCTCAGCGTCTCGTGTGCTTCTTCTTCTTCTTCCTCTTCACACAAAGTCGTAGAAGTTTTCAGACGTGTCACAGCTGGATGTGAGGATGGGACCCACTTTCCTCTGTGAGCTGGGCCTATTCTGTGAGTGCATCACTTCTTCCTTTGATTCA